GCTAGGTTAGTTGTCTTAAGTTGCTAGGTTATTTCTTTCTTGCTGTTAGATTAGTTGTCTTTTGTTGCTAGGTTAGTTATCTGTAGCTGCTAGGTTAGTTGTGTTTTGTTGCTAGGTTAGTTGTCTGATGCTGCTAGGTTAGTTGTATTTTGTTGATAGGTTATTTCTTTCTTGCCACTAGGTTAGTTGTCCGATACTGTTGGGTTAGTTGTATTTTATTGCTAGGATATTTCTTTCTTGGTGCTAGGTTAATTGTCTTTTGTTGTTAGGTTATTTATTTCTTGCTGCTAGGTTAACGCCGGAGTCAACACCGGAACTCAACGATCAACGCCTGAAGTCAACGATTTTCGTCGGAAGTCAACGCTGAAAGTCAAAGGTCAATATCAGAGTTAACGGTCAACGCCAGAGTCAACTAATAATTATTTTCTTATTTAATCAATGTATAATTTAATTGATTTTGATCTAGACAAAATGAGTGGCTAAGATTGAGTCTCACGTACTCATTTTAAGGAGTTGTCTCATTGGATCCGTCCCCTAGGTTCTCACATTAGGACTTGGTTTCTCATTTGAACCGCATCATATATGAGAACCGTGAGAACCGCTATTTTTAATTGTTCGTAGTGCTTTTATTGATTGCGTTTTAGTGCTGTTTTTCTAACTAATATGTATTTTATTAAAATGGCAATACAATTTATATTTGCATTTTTAATAATGATAGCACCATGAATGGTAACACCAAACACTCCGACCGACTGAAAATTGGTTCGCCTCCTTCCTCCTTGCCGGTAGAACGCTGCGTACCTGAAAAGACCTCTCACACCGGAGAGGTTTTCCCGTGAAGAGCTTCCGATGCTTAAGTCAGTATAAGCTTTACTCAATTCTCAAGAGTAAGAATGTATAAATCGTGCTCAAAATGTAAAGCCCAAAAGATACCTGCTTCTAGAGACTGCCCGAGTTAGCTGAGCTGGCTGCCCAAAAGATGCCCGGCCTGTCCGTTCATACACACACAGTGTGCATGTTTCAGAAACAGTTATCATCACAGACTAATCCGATCGCTCCATGTGTCCTTCGCACATTGGGGAAAGATACCTATGTATTCTCCTCGAAGGCTCTTGTGCTCGACCGTGCCTAGGTCGATTCCCAGGATGCTCTCAGTCTATGAAGTTATCGATCAAATGACCCTTTGCCCAACAGGTCGATCTTCGACCAGATCCTTCATGGACCTGGGACCGACCTGTCCTCCTCGTACCAGAATCCCCCGTACCTTGTTCTCGTGGTCTTCGACCTCAACCACTCTGCTCGGTTCTATTCGGTCAAGACGGCTTCTTCGGTTTGTTGGACTCATTCGACTGGCCTAGCGGACCGGCTTACCCCTTTANTTCCTTCATGTGTCGACCATCTGGTAAGTTCCATCTGCTTTTCGACCGTATTTCTTTTCGACCGCCACTGTAAAGCTCCACTTCCCACCTGTAGCATCTGTCAGATGAGTCAATCATTGTGCCTCCTCGCGATGTGCGCCCCCTCGCATTTCGTGTCTAATAAATGCACCATAGCCGTTGGATTTACCTTTAATCAAACGGTTACATTGTTTGACCCCTCACCTTTCTCCCTATAATATCCACACTTAGAAATTTTTGTGCTTTTCCACCTTTACCAAATTTTAAACTCACTTATGCACTAGCTCTCTCTCGTCTTTGTGCTCTCAGCAATCGGTCTCTCTGCAAGTACAACTTTTTCGACAATCTCTCCAACTGCTATCATGAGTAAGTCCTCCGCAACTTAAATTTTTCTTTGTTTTTAATTTTCTCTGATTTTTCGATTTTCAATCCTCCTTTTCGAAATTTCCCTCAAAACCCTAGCCGTATAAATCTTCTTTTTTCTCTTTCTCCCTTCCTCGAAAAATTGGTTCTTTTGATATCTATTTCTATTATTTTTTCAAATTCTGCTACTTCTAGTGAGAACGACCACCACTCTGGCAAATATGACTCCTCCTTTCTCGTCTTCGAACCCTCTATTACCGCCTCGTTCTCCCTCCAATTCTGTTGAGGAAGTTTACCAGGTCGTTTCTCTTACCGTTCTGAAACCTGTTAACTCCGATGGCACTCCGTTCGAGCCTCCTCCTCTCCGCCAACAAGACAAGGATGTCCTTGACGATGTTCCCCTTAACCGTCGCTCTCCACCTGCTCTAGGCACCTCTGATGTCACCGACTCAGCTATCGAACCACATCCCTCTCTCTCCCCGCTCTGTTCCACCTAAACCTGCTGCTTCGATCAAAACCAAGACAATCAGAACTCCGACCACCAAAACCGAAACTTCGGCTTCACATTCTTCCTCTAAATCTACCAAAATTAAACCTTCGACCAGCTCTTCTACTGTTCGCCCTAAAGCCAAGAAATCCCGCTCGACCTCTTTTTCCAATGAATGGATGGACTTAGACAAGTTTGGTCAACCTTCTTCCTGGGGCTTCATTATCCCTAGCAAGAATGACACCTACAACAATCCTCCTGACAACTGCTATACTTTAATAGAAATCCATCACTCTGGGAATCCGTTTTCCTCTGAGCCATGAGCTGGTGGAGATTTACGATTGGTTCGGTCTTCCCCTCAATTAGCTTCTCGCAAAAGCCATCCGCTTCATGACCACTTTCGTCATTCTCTCCCATGTTCGTCTAGGTCGATTCGACCTAGACTTCTTTTCATATTGTTACAAGCCCTCCAAGCAATCCCAAGGGCTCTTATCTAAAAAGTCGGAATGAGGCTCACTTCATTTCCGACATCCCCTCTAATTGCCCTAAATGGAATCAAAAGTTTGTGTACGTCGAGCCTGATACTCCCTTTTCTTAGGAGTCTACACCTTGGCTCACTGAGCTCCTTTACGAGATCGAAACTCTTCCTCTCAATCCTCTATTCGACCAGCGCATCGCTGTTTAGAATTCCAAGCCTGTAACCTCGAGCACCCTCCTAAAAGATGACAACTTTTTACATTATTGTGGTCTTCTCAACAACACAACCTTGCCTGCTCCCGACTAGAAAACCCTCGATTCTATTAGAGTAGATGGCGATACAAGTGGTTCTCGACCAGTACCCCCAAATATATACTATTTGCTGTTGTGTTAACTTTTCTTATGTTTACTTTTCTTATGTTTTATTGCACAGATGCCCGCTATCTCCTTACCCAATAGGAAGGTTCCTCTTAAGAAAAAATCATCTACGCTGTCACCTTCCCAACCATCCGATTCAACTACTCCTCTATGCACTCTCTCTCCTCCCTCGAAGGAATTCGAGGTGCATACTTCTTCCCAGCAAGAGCAATTGGCTACGCACACCTCGACCGGGGAGTAAAGGCCCCCTTCTTTGCTGGTCGGGCACTTAAACATTGCTCCTTTGCCTCCTCAACAACCGACCAATCCTGTGGTCGAGCGTCAACCGTTGTCTCTCCTAGCAAGAGGGTCCCTGACGTCTCTCTGGGAAACGTCCCCTCCTAGAGTATAATGAGGAGAGCACCAAGCGTGCTCGTCTCGAGGAGACACTACATTCTTTCAACCCTCATCCTTCCTTAGCCAAAGCCAGCGGGAATGAGATAATGTCCTATTTCAAGGACGCACTCCCTGCTGTCGATCTTCAAGACGACTGCTCGAGGTTGCAGGCTCAAGAAGAGCGCATTGCCAAATGGCTGGCACAGGTAAATTCCATGTTTTTTCCCGCGCTCTGTAATATCATATGCACCTTGCTAATGAGCTCCTTATCCGTGTGATGAAAACAGGGTCTGCTTGAACTAGTGCCTCTGGTCGACCAAACTCTGGGTAGTTCTGGTCGATCAATTCCTTCAATCGAGAACGGGGCTTCAATACTTCAGGACACCGTCAACCGACTCACCCAACAACGCTTCAACTTGAAGGAGGAGCTGATAGCCCAAAGTCGGGGCTATGAAGAGAGGGCCTATGCCCTCGAGCATGCTCTTGAGGCAGAAAAAGCCGTTCGGGAGGAGGAGAAGCGTCGAATATTAAACGCCTCTGCTCTTCGGGCTCATCAAATGGTGTGGAACACCAAAGTCGGGCAGCGTGTTCTGCAAGAATACCTTGATCAAGTGGTGGCTGACTTCATGCAGTCACCACTATATTTGAAACAAGTGCAAAACTTGGGCACCGACTACTTCCAATTCGCCATGGAAAAGGCGGGCGAGCAGGTGGCTGAGGACGACTTCGATGACCTCAACGTGGGGCCTATATGGGACGTTATGCCAAAAGTGCCCAAGGCGATCTCGATCTGCCACTTACCCATGAATGGTGGTCGGGCACCCTCGAGCGCACTCTGGTACGAGCAGGTGGCCGAGGACGACTTCGATAACCTCAACGTGGGGCCTATATGGGAAACTATGCCAAAAGTGTTCAAGGCGATCCAGATCTGCCACTTACCCATGAATGGTGGTCGGGCACCCTCGAGCGCACTCTGGCTCGATCCGATGTCTTAAAGAAATATTTTGCTCTGTCCGATGGTCTTGTTGTGCTTGTCTCTCTGGCCCAAGCTATGGCCGAGTCAATCGGCCTGCGACCATTATCCGACATGGACTGATGGCTGCTTTATGCTTTTCATGTCATCATTCTTGACCATGTTGGCTTCATTACTCTCAATACTTTCTTTGTCAAAAGGCTCGCTTTTGTTTCTTTTTCTCACTCTTTCTGCCTCAAGACCATATAATACATTTGTTTGATAAAAAATAAATGACATAGAAAATTAAAAATTAATGGTAATTGAGAATCATGAAAGAACATTAAGAGCACGAAGTTGGAGTAATAGCATATGCTTCTCTCATGATAATATTCGTGAACTATAATTATTTATTATTTAAAAAAAAATTGTCAAACTAGTGTAAATCATGAACGGTAGACTAGTAAATACACATAGAATATACAATTAAAAAATTAAATTTTTAACAGTGTTACTATAAAACAGGGCAAGGAAATTTGGTTGGCCAAATACATATGTTTTCAGCAAGGCGATGGGTGAGATGTTGTTGGGGCAGTTGAAAGAGGAAATGCCTCTTGTAATAATTCGCCCCACAATTATAACCAGCACTTACAAAGAGCCTTTCCCTGGTTGGGTTGAAGGGATCAGGTAAATTTAATCAATCAATTATTTTTCATGTAAAAAAATTTAATCGCTAATTTTTTTTTCTAGTACACTTGAAAAAGAAAAGATAATGAGTTTGGACTTTTCAGTGTTTTCACCCAACAGCAATTCAAAATTTAATAATAGTAACCACTAAATTATAAATGTGAATTAATGGGTGCTTCAGATTATGGTTTCTGTTTCTAATTCCTCATTTACCACTTTTCTAACAAATTTTTATTCAATTTTTTTTATTCGTTAAATACTAATTATTATTATTATTATTATTTTTATTACTGCAATAAACAGGACCATTGACAGCTTAGCTGTTGGATATGGAAAAGGAATAATAACATGTTTTCTTGGCAATCCCAAGGGCATAATCGATGTGGTGAGTTTAATTAATGTAGAAGAAAACATGCATTACTTGGGTGCAATTATATATGTTTTTGAAGTTATTTTATTTAATATTGGTGAAACTGCAATGAGTTGGATAAAATAGAGTTAATGAAAGAATTAATAATTTACTCTTTTAAATAAAGTGATCAATACAGTGCAATATTTCATTGTGATTTGATAAAAAATAATAAAATAATAATTGATAGTTATCCATATGTAAATGATTAAATAGTAACTCTGATAGAAAATTGTGTGGTAATAATTAATATTAAAATTTAAAAATTGAGTTTGAAATTTATCAATGGAGTAGAGAGAATTTGATGAATAATAAATTGAAGTACTCCATGTTTCCATTAGATTGGATAAGAAACGCACCCAATGTGTATGCATCCTTCACGTCCTATACTCTTCTTAACGTCCCCTTTTCTTTTTTTTTTTGTTTATTTTAAAGAATAAATTGATGCACCTTAAAATATAGGAAAATGCTACAATCCCAACGGGATTTGTAACCGTTAGATCAAACATCATTGACGGTTACTTGATGATCTAACGGTTACAATCCCAACGAAATGGTTCCGTAACGGAATTGTAGTCTTATCCTAAAATATAATAATATTCAATAACAACATAGGATGTGTAAATGTTGTGTTAATTAATATGGAAAATATGCAATTTATGTCGTCTAACTTTAAGGCTTGCGGCTATTGTGGATAACGACCTTTTGTTTTGCCGAACTATGACAGTAACTTGAAATATCACGCACTAGCTATATGCCCAATCGACTTACAATTTATTGGTAAACTGTAAGTTACTGTCCTAATATGCTAGCGAAATTAATTAGGTAAATAGTACGTTGGTTGAGCATTAATTGCGCGATTTTTAAGTTACCTTTATATTTTGCCAAAACTAGTAATCAACTTGTGCATTTGCACAGAGAAGAATACTTTGAAAAGATAACAATAAAAACAAATCATAATTTAATTCATGAAAAAAAATAAATTAAGAAAATAATTCTCAAAATTGATTTTGATCAAGTAATTGCTATGGAAGAGTCGTTACAACCATTTTCTTTATGTTCATTGCTAATACATCCGGCCATTTTCATGAGTGGGTGTGACTTAAAATTTGAGTACAATTTTGTAACTCCCTTGATTGGTTTATGCTCATAATTTATGGCATTGCAAGTTATTTTGTAACTTAAAAATGAAATTGAATGTTGAAAATTTTGGAAGGATAATAAAATTTAATGCTTGATAATATAATTAAATGATATGTTGCTCCTCTTTATAGATATATAGATACAAAGACGACAGTCATAATTGCGATAGACCATAAATTACAAGAAATTAATTGCAATTTTGCCTAATTAGTCTCAAGCTTTTCAAACCATTTGTTTTAGGTTTTTCTAAAAATTAAATAAATAAATAAAATGAAATAATTGCAGATGCCTGCAGACATGGTGGTGAATGCAATAGTAGTGGCGATGGCAGCCCCATTCGAATGATAATAGCGGCAATGATAATATATACCACGTTGGCTCATCTATATCAAACCCTGTGGAGGTCACGTGGCTTCAAGATTATGCACTCACATACTTCACAAGAAATCCTTGGATTAACAAAGATGGAAAGCCCGTGATTGTTGGCAAAGTCAATGTCCTAAGCTCCATGGACAGTTTCCGAAGTTACATGACCATTCGATACATTCTGCCTCTCAAGGTTTGAATTATTAGCTTCTATTTCATTCATATTTTAATCCTTAAATTAAAAACATTAGCTTTAGTTTTGTCGTATGTTAAAGAAAAAAACAAAACACAAATTTCACCCTACAAAAGACTTCAATGATTTTTCTTTGACAGGAGCTAAGCAACTTAATGATCACTATTGAAATATGGAATGTGGAAAACGTATTTTTTGATAATAATGGTTACAAGTTGAGCTCCCTTTATATAGAGCGCTAAAGAAAACTATCTAGAAAGTGTCTTCCAGCCTCCAGGGACCAAACAATATAATAGAAACATAATTTAATGAAGATCAAATGCATCTAAGGTGCAAGTTACATAATTTACCATCTAGCATCTTGAACCGTTTATGTGTGTTCCATCTGAAAAGAAGTAAAACTAAAATGGAAGAAAGAATCGAAGCTTCAACATTGTAGGGCCAAAATGATGAACCATATTCTAATTCTCACATGACATAAGCTCTAGGATTACTACACGAGTTCTAGCAAGTGTTTGCAGTGAATGGGACCACTGTAGCCATTCTTATTGGGGCCATACTGGCTCAGGTCGGTCAAACTTGGACTGGAAGACAATTTCATTTTCTCTAACATGCGACCTCAATTTGAGCGAGCCTGAAGACACCACATTTAGTTCATATCTGAGTCGATAAAAGGATTGAATACTAAGAAATTAAGGCAACATGTCGATCGTTTGGTCATAGGACGGGATGTGTTGTTGATAAGATTCATCATCAAGCCTTTCACAAGTACAAAGAGAAGAAGAACATTAGTTTACAACCCAAAGTATTTATACTAAGTGAAGAACAACTAAAAGTGATATTTCCATCTAGCAACACTACTTACACCAATATTAAAATTACAAAATGTAAAATGTAAAATACTATTTCTAATATACTCTGCAAGAGGAGCATGTATGTTTATCATGCTCATCTTGGCGAGGAGGTGCTGAAATGCTGGGCATGGTAGTGCCTTAATCAAGAAATCTGCTAACTGACCATTTGTTGGAATTTGATGAGTTGAATGAGGCATTTATTGATCTTTTCTCTAATCAAGTGACAGTTCAATTCAACGTGCTTTCATAGAAAACGGGGTTAGATGCCACTGCTAAAGTTAACTTACTATCTGAAAAGGGAGAAACAAGAGATACGAGTGATATATCAAGTTCAGTACTCAAGTTAGTAAGCCATTAGATTTCACATGTGGCAGCTAGTGCCCTATATTCAGCCTCTACATTCGATCTACTAATGGTAGGTTGTTTATATGATTTCCATGGTATTGAAGTGCTACCAAGAAAGAATAAATAACCAGTTACACTTCTCCTATTGTCTACACAAGAGGCCCAATCACTATCACAATAAGCATTAAGTTATAAAGACAGTACCTTGGCAAAGAGTGCCTTTGACATACCTCAAAACCCTTTGTGAAGCATGCATGTGTACTTCAATAGGTTATGACATGAATTGGCTAAGAGACTGAATAGAAAAAACAATGTTGGGCCTACTAATTGTGAGATAAAGTAACTTACCAACTAACCTTCTATATGTACATGGATCAGACAGTTTACTTGATTTGCAAAAGGAGGAGTTATTTGTTAATTTTTGTTTTGAAACATAATGGTAGAGGCAAGTTTACAATCTAACATTCCAATATCATTAAGAATATCCATTACAAATGTTCTTTGACACATATGTATGCCTTTGCTAGGGTGAGCAAATTCTGGTCCTATAATATATTTTAATTCACGTAAATCTTTTATCATTGTGAAACATGTATCAAGATGAGACTTTATGGAATGTATTTTGTTTAAATCTCTACCTCTTAAGATTACATCATCTAAATATACAAGAAACACAATAAATGAACCATTTTCAGGCATGTCAAACATTGAACAATCAACAACTGATTGGAAAAAAACCATAACTAAGGAGGCATGAGGTGAGTTTGTGGAACCACTGTCTTGAAACTTGTTTAAGACCATAAAGACTCTTTGTAAATTTATAAACTCTAGTGTCTGTTGGGGAGCAATAACCATGTGGGGGTTCCATATAAACTACTTCAGTTAAATCACCATGTAATAAGCATTATTGACATCTATTTGGTGAATGAACCAGTTTTTAACAACTGCTAAAGCTATGATGAATCTTCATGTGCTAATCTTAGCTACGGGAGAAAAAGTATAAAAATAATCTATGTCCCCCTTCTTGAGTATAATCTTTTGCAACTAATCTAGCCTTAAACCTTTCAATAGAACCATCATACGTGTACTTTATTTTGTAAACCAATTGCGACCTATGCAATGTTTATTTTTAGGAAGGTTTGTTATGACCCAAGTATTTGTGTGTTCTAGAGCTTTTAATTCTATATGCATATCTTCTTGCCATAGTAGATCCCTAGCAGCCGTTTATATGTTTTAGGTTCAGATGCATGTGTGATTGATATAGTAAAACAACCATGTGAGCTAGACATGTTATTAGTAGATATATAGTTTGAAATAGAGTAAATGGATGTTTCAGAAACATCATGAGAATTGGTCTGTGAGTTTACTGTGTGGTGAGTTGTATTTGTTGAGGGTTGAGGTTGATTGTTTGAATAGAATCTGGTAGTAAGTGTTGATATATGCTCAAGTATGGATGTGGTCTAGAGATTCTGGTTGTTCTTCTTCTAGGTAAATGTTATTGTTCAGGAGTAGTGACAGGTTGAGGTGTGTTTTTAGGGAGATTCGGTGGGTTAGTAGGTGTTATTGGGATAGGATCATCAAAGAAATATTTTGATTTTGGTGTAGGGAAAAATTTTGAGAACTGAGAGAGGCAGTATGAGTTTTATAAGGAAAAGTATTCTCATAAAAGATGACATTTCTAGAAATGAATGTTTTCTTGGTGTGCAAGTTGTAATTAATATAACCTTTACAAACTTAAAGGATAACCAAGAGATATGAATTTGGAAGCTCTTGAATCAAATTTATGCCTATGTGCATGTAGTGTAGAAGCAAAGCACAGACAACCAATACTTTCATGTGATCATCAGTGGGTGGTTTGTTATATAACATTTCAACATCTTTTGTTCAGAGTTAAGGTTGATATTCTATTTATTATATGCACTGCAACAAGAATAAAGTCAAACCAACAAGAAAGGAGTAGATGAGCATGAAATAATATAGCTCTAGCAACATGAAGAATATGATGATGTTTGCTTTCTACCCTTTCATTTTGTTAAGGGGTTTCAACACGAGACTTTTGATGTATATTCCAGGTTCATAATAGAAATTCCTTAACATGAATTCAGTACTACTGTCAGTTGACTCAGTTTTAATTGATTTTATTTTTCTATTAAACTGAGTAAAAACCATGTTGTAGAAGTGAATTAAGGATGTCTTAGTGTCTGATTTATGAATTAGAGGATAAAACTAAGTGACACGACTATAATCATCTACAATGGTGAAAAATTATTTATAACCTAAGTGAGATGAAGTTGAAAAAGGACCCCAAACATCACTGTGAATAAGTTGAAATGGAAAATCATAAATGGAAGTACTATCGTTACATGGAAGTCTTATGTCTGGAGAAGTGTCAAACATCATAGGGATTCACAGATGTATTGTTATTATGATACCACAATAAGATTCATCATTAAGTCTTTCACAGAAACAAAGAGAAGGAGAAGATTGTGGGTATAGTGTACTGAGAAGAAAAATGAATGAATCATCTTAGGTTTATAATTCATGTATTTTTACAGCGTTAAGAATAAATAAAAGTGATATTTCTTATATAGCAACTTTACTTACACCAATATTAAAATTACAAAATGTAAAATGTAAAATACTATTTTCAATAGTTGTATTGTAATACACCTAGTTGTTGTCTTGTCTCTCTAAAAGTGAATATCAAGTTTGATATGCTTGGTCCTAGCATATAGTATGATGTAGCGAAAGCGTAAACGGAAGAGAGATTGGGAGAGAACTATTGTTTTTTTGTATTTAATCAAATGCAACCAACTCTAAAAACAATAGAATATGAGTCTTAAATACCTTTCTTAAAAGAGTTCTACCTACCATAGACGTACCTACTAAATAAAATACTAAAAATACTTAAATAACAATAAAAATAAAAATAATAAATAATTAAACTAAAGTTTTCTAACGATCATGCTTGTCCAAGAAAGACAATGCAATCTCGCTTCCATCATTCTCCCCCTCATGGAAAAGATTCACCCTCAAATTTGATGCAATCTCGTCTTCATCGAAATTATTACCACAGAAAGGTACCAAATGTTTAGCATTAAACACGTCCTATGTGCGAATATGTGACGGAAAATGTAGACGACAGGCATTAAGATTGATCTTCTCAACAATCCCTGGCAAATTTTAAATGTCGTTTTCCTGTCGTCGTATGATCGAATACGAATTTGATGATAACAACTTCCGAGATCCAGCTTCGCAAAGACCAATGCACAATCAAACTGATCTGGAAAATCATCTAAATCAGGTATAGGAAAACGATACTGCACCGTAACCTTATTAATACCACGGTTGTCCACACACATATGCCAAGAGTTGTCCTTCTTTGGAATAAGAAGAGCGCGGATTGCATACGGGCTCAAACTCTGACAGACCACTCCACGTCGATGGAGCTCATCCACTTGCTGGCGTAGTTCTTCATGTTCAAACGGACTCATGCGGTAGTGTGTTCGGTTAGGGGGAGAATCACTAGGCACTCATTCGATTTGATGTTGAATATCACGCAATAGAACCAGGCCACGGGGTATGTACTTTAGAAAGACATCATAAAATTAATTCATTGAGCAATGTTCAGACCTCAGCCGAAGGAGATGTATCCACAGCCTCCTCGCTACCCAAGACAAGAGGAATAAATTGTGTCGATTGTATCTCCAGGACAAAAACTGCGTGTGAGACAAAAAAGATAGGCAAGGATGTATGAGGCAAAATAGCTTGGTTTCTTCGGATGAAGGATAATCATGACACCCTAAAAAGGAAAGCCATAGGTATTGAGGCAACCATCGTGAACTACCGAACGATCAAATTTCCATGGACATCTAGCAGGAGATAACAAGCATCCATAGTCCCCCGTCACACCACGTTGAATCCTTATAACTCAAACCAATGGAAAAAGAGACCTACACACAACAATCAACCATGATTGAATAACCACATTTGATCTAGGCCAAGGTATACTGTTGGGGATGTGGCTCACTAGTGAGATGGAGCTTCTCCACACCTCCAATGCCACAACATTCTCGCAGGATCCCGAGTCGATGATAAAGCAACACACTTTGCCACCAAACGTACAAATCCACTAAAAAATATGGTGCTATTGTATCGTATCCTCAGAAAAAGCATGAGGTGAAAAATGGAACCAACGAATAACAAGCGCCAGACCAACATCCCCGATCAAGTGCTCCTTAGCAACATGGTCCTCGTCATAAAAAAGAGACGGACTCTCATATTCGGTCGACCCCTGCTCCTCCACGAGCAGTGTGCGCGTATTGCCCGACTTTAGGCAAGCAACCTGCCAATGACCCAGCTTGCCACACGAGAAACAAAGAAATTTTTATGGCGGTTTAGGACCAACAGCTGGAGTGGAACCCACCGTCTGGCCAGAGATCGCAATCGATTGAGTGGTGTCCGTCGCAGGTCGAGTGGGTGGTACCAATGAGCTAGCCAACTAGCGAGCTAACTGTTGCTCCACTAAAAGAGCCCGTTGGTGTGCATATGAAATTTACTCCAACACAAAATAAATAAATAAATCAACGAATCTTGGAAGGGCACCGTAAACCCCCAATGTACCGAGACACTAACTGGTAAAATTCCTTGGTGTAACAACCGAGCGAGCGTCTTGACAGAGATTTTGTAAATATTGGTAGAGCATATAAACATAAATATACGGCAAAAATTTGTGCTCCATGTGTTTTCAAAACTTTGCCCAAGTTGCAACTTTTTGGTTTATCCTGCTGCTACCGTGCTTGCTTGAATTGCTGCCACCAAGTGCCAGCTCAACCCTGAAGTTATGTCGTAGCAAGCGCAACCCTCCAATCTCCTGGAACCCGCTTAAAGTCATGGATATTTTTTTACCGCGCTGATCCAATCCAAGATGTCGGCGACTTCAAGGCCTCTCGAAAATTCGGAGATATCCAGTCCACCTCGGCAATCTCGTCTCCTTCAGTAAATCCAAATCTAAAACCCCATACCCTATAATTCCAATGGGTAACACAATTGCGGCCCTAAATCTCCAACGGTGAGAGGTGGCGTTTCTATCCCTCTATTGACATGCGTTGTCTTAGAGAGAGCACCAAAATACTAGATCGGTTGTAGGGTGCCGGAATTGAATGTTGTTAGAGGGAGTACGGAGACGATAGCGTATTTAATTTTGTGTATGAATGATCGTGAATTTTAGTTATTATTGGCCCTAAATTATTTATTTGAATTTTTTTTGTTTTCAAACTTCCATTTTCGTTGCATTAGTTTCAAATATCTACTGTTTTTTTTTTCTTTTTTTTTTCGAGGATTTTATTCGAGTAAATTTATTTTAGTGTAACAATGAAAAAGAGAACGAGATAGAAAAATTAATATTATTTTTTTATTCTAAATTTTATTTTTAATTTTTGAAAATTGCAAATTTTTATTGGAATAAAATCCACATCGACTCCAAAATTGCAATTTTTGCCACCTTGTAGGACACACATGCTTTTCCGGCTACACTTAACTCACACATGTGTACATCCAGCGTGTTTCAAATTTTTTGACAGGTCGAGGACGAAAGTGTAATTATCTTGTACAGAATGAATTTCAAAACCGTGAATTTTCTGCAATATACAAGATTAAAATTGCAATTCGATATACTCTTTATATAGAACATAAATAAACCTATCTAGAAACAGTAGCACATCAAGAAATAAAGTAGCAACATGATTTAAAAATGATAAAATGATCAATGGAGCCAGCTATAGAAGTTTCCTTGTAGCACGTAGAATTGTTAGTTGTTCCCATGTCTGCTGATGTCATACATGAGGTGTCATAGTAGGCTCAATGACTCATCTAGGTAAGTTTTTGTTGTTTCCGTACGTTAGATTTGACCTTTTCTTTTCTATATGTCAGGACAAAATATGGTGAAATATTATGTTCAATACATTTCTTTAATTCATGTGATTTCTTGACAGTTTTTNNTTAGGCATTACAAATATTGAACATATTATGCTGTCAATATTTCCAAAACACGTACCTCGAGATGTGCCGAAAAATCAAGTTTGTGATGCGGCTAATCGATCTTTATAGGCCTTATCTGTTCTTCAAGGGATTGTGAGTATTTTAATATATAACTATTTGATAATTTTTTTGGGCAAAACTAAGGAAATAATAATAATAGAGGGTGCAAGATTTCATTTCAAAACTACAGAATAAAATAAAAATAGAAAGAATAAAGTTTTGTCATTCAATTCATTTTATAAGTAATTTTGAGGATTTATTTTGGAATTCAGTGGAGACGGACAACCAATTGAGTATATCTCAATTTTACTATTTTTTGCGTGAACAGGAATTTGAGCATTTCACATGTATTACATTCAAAATCTTATTTCACATGTTTTACATTCAAAATCTTGATTTTTGTTCAATTTTCTTATCTGCAGATATGATGATATTAATTTAGTAAAACTGAGAAGTGCAGCAAATGAATGCGGTATTGAGACCATCTTCTATTTCGATCCCAAGATGGTTAATTGGGAGGACTATTTCATGAATGCTCACATTCCCGGAGTTGTCAAATATGGATTTAAGCAGCACAAAGCATGAATTAGAGTCAAATTAATAGGTGTGTTAAAGTTTTCCTTGTTAGATCTCTTATAAGTCATAACACGTTTGAGTTTTTCACAATTTTCTCAGTATATGTTCCAGAACATTAATTATGGTGGTGATACAATTTCAAATTTATTATCATTAATTAATAAATGCATAATTGAATGTTTAAACTATTATTAAACTTTTTCTTAAAAAATAGTCAGTGTTTGTTGTTGTATGTAAGCATTTTGGAACTATATTATAAGGAATACCCATGGTTGTATTTAAAAACTGATTTATTAGTTCGTTTAGGTTATTTTACCATGTGCTACATTTTGATCAGAAGTTATATCAAAACTCGGTGCGAACATAAATATTTTAGGTAACACAAAATAAGTGATACATAAAAACTATAAAATAATACTATAGACAATAGCTACCTAAAATCAAATATAATACTTTTGGTAGCTTTTGGTAACACATATTATGTGTTGCATTAAGTAGCATATTGTAATACTTTAAATTACGTGGCATAAGCTAGATATTGCCTATAACATTTAGGTAATAATTTTTATCAAATGCAACACTTTTTTGCAACACTTTATTCCATAGTTCACTTTAATTTTTATTAGGTATTACCATAGTTTAGAAAACCGAACTGGACCGACCGAATGACCGGTGCAACAGAAAATCAGCATTTACAACGATCCGCTTAAAAGAATAAACCGCCCAACGCCAAAACCGGTAGAGAACCGCACAAAGCGACCAAAAATTGGATGAACCGATGAACCGTTCCCGGTTTTGGAAGGTTAACAAGTCGACTGAAATGGCCTTCGTACATTGACATATTCACCCGTGACCAGCCAATATATTTTATTCCNNNNCAAGGAGAGAGAGAGAGGAGATTTGTGGCGAATAAACTAAAAGTCTCAAAGTGATATGTATTTGTTTGCCTTTGCGGTTGTTGCTTTGCCCTAGTTCTCTCATTTATGTATACAATGTGGGTTAGTTCTAGTTATCACATGGGCTTAGTTATTTATAGGCTTAGTCCAAGTTATTTGAATAAAAAATGTATTTGTAAGAGAAATTTACCCCTTTTACAATTGCTAAGTTATATAATATCACAAATACGATGTGACAAACTTATCATCATAATTACGTTTTTTTTCTAAGTAAAATAAATTTAATATGTCACACTGTTTTTTGTGGCCTAATTTACCGTAAATATTATTCAATTATCTTGTATTTAATTAAGGTCAATAATATATTCAGTTTTTAAAACGACCTACAACTACCCACACACTTAAATGATGGGGTTATTCTCGACATGAACATATGTGTCAATGCATGTACGTCCTCATCAACAACTATATAAACTATATGATTGCTCTCCAAAGCCAAATACAGAATCTGGGTAGTCACATCTCTACTCTCGAAACTATTTCTCCGCAATTGATCTCTATAGTTACACACTTGTCGTTGAGTAGCGTTGGTTTTTTGCCTGGATCGCAGCCAAAATTATTGTTGGTTTTGCTTGATCAGCAGTCATATCACGGACAATATCTTTAGATGAAGTGCTAAGTCCGCTCATCTGTCAATGACCATCAGGATATACAACCAATACACGATTATGCATTCCCCTACCACCCTCATTACTTACACGGATCTCCTAAGTTGTAGATCGTGCCACCTGTTGAACTATTATCCGAAATGGGCATTTGCACGCTTTCGTCTTTGAACGTCGAGCAGCACCTTGATCTAAATCTCATATGCTGCCTCTGTAACGTTCACCTCGCGAACACCTCAACACCTTTATCCTTCTTTTTTTTTGTGAATAAATGACCAATTCAAAACCATATATAATTGCCATTTCTTTTGCTTATGTAATAGCTTCTTCATCACTACCGAATACGTCTTCCGTAATGAAGCATAACTGTAATCAGTACCATCTCCTCCAAAATCTTCGAATGACACCTACAATATATTACGATGTTAGTATTTTTTTCAAGATAATTAATTCTAATTAATAACATAATAATTTCTAAGTTCTAACATAATACTAATAAATTCTAATTTATAACTTAATAGTTTGTATGTTCTCACATATAATAATAAATTCTAGTTTATAGCATAATAATTTCTAAGTTCTCACATAATAATAATTGTTGATACCCAATTTAGCCTCGATTAATAAAAATGCTACACGTGGATATATATTAAATAAATATAAATATAGCAGGTTCTTTGAGCTGATTATCAATATCGATCGAGTTCAACAGCATCCAGATCATCCACATTCGCGCCGAACGGGGTTAATATCATCAGCTCGGCCCGAATATCGAAAAGATCCGTTTCCAACAGACACAATAATTGGCGACAAAGTAGACGTCAATCAGAGCCGTCAAGTGTCACGATCGGGCCCCACAATGTAATATCGCATTCAATACTATTGTCCCCTTTATCTTTATTTTAATAGGCCCACTTGTGTAAAAAAGGGAGGGATATAGATAGGGTCAGGAGAGGGGAGAGAAGAGGAGGATGGATGATCTTTTTCAACATACCAAAAAAACTAAAGACAAAGAGAAGAACATTTTCTCTCTCAAAAATCAATAAAAATACATATCGATCCAACACCGATTATTCACAGAATAGGGGTGTGTATTTTCGTTGATCAAATCCGTTTATGAACAATAATAATAAATTCTTATTTATAACATATTAATTTCTAAATTCTCACATAATAATAATAATTGCTAATTTATAATAATAAAAAATTCTAACTTATAACATAATAATTTCTAAGTTCTAACATAATAATAAAAAATTCTAAATTATAAGATAATAAATTCTAACTTATAACTATTTTTTTCATAAATAAAATTAAATAACTCAAAAAAGAAAAAATAAAAAATTGGTCGATTGCACCGACCGGACTGCCGCCGGCCAACCGGCGATTGCGGTTGCGCTCGGTCGTGGCCGGCCAGCTAGGTAAGCCAAGCATGGTCATGGCCGGCCGCAGATTGCGGCCGCCAACGGCCATGGCCTACCTAGCCGGCCGGCCGAGACTGAGTGCGGCGGCAATCGCGGGTTGGCCAGCGGCGGTCTGGCAGGCCGACCAAGAAACGCACCTCGTCGTACGCCATTTTCTAGCCGGAAATCGTCTGGTTTCACATAATTTACGATTTTCTGAGTTTTTTGAAAAAATGACAGAGGCAAAATGGTACAAGGGTGCGGTACGTAGTAATAGGGGTGCAGTGAATAGTAACACCTATATATAATCATGAGGTGGGGCGACTGACCTAGCCGTCTCCACCAAATAATAATTCTTTTTTATTTTATTTTTAAATATTTAATTTTAATTAGTGATTAATTAAATATAATGACCATAATTTATATAACTGACTTTTAAAATTAATTGTTCAAAATCTTATCTTATTTTCCATAAAAATGAAATCTCCTCCCTTATGTAAGATTTGAATTATATCTTCACATTAATATTTGATTTGAATTTTAAAATCCAACAATAGTTTAGTAATTCTAATATTTACTTAATTAATATCTAAAGTCGAATTAATTAATCTAATTTATTAATTTATTTTATTCATATAATTGACATTTAATCAAAATTAGATTCTAATTAAATAATCAAATTATTTAATTAAGTCTTGTCAATTAATCCAACTATTGAAAATACCAATTTAAAAAATGTCTCCATCCAAAGTTTGGTGTAACCCTATTAGATTCACGATTAACACAAGTAGTGGGTTTAAAACTCGTTTGTAATTTAAATTAATCTAATTAATTTATATTCTTGGAATTAACTCTTAATTTCAAGATCTCACAAATCATAGTAATAGCTCGCAAGTAGTATGATAATCTAGTGTTAAGTGAAATAGCGAGTAAAAACCTTTTCAATTGCAAGTACATACATGTAAAATTCTTTCGACAACTAATTTCCCGATTAAATCTTGAACATGGAATTATAAATCGAAACTCAATTGATTTAATAATTATGATTTCATTTCTCTAGTGTTTCCTTTATAAATCCACTCGCCTTGGGCAAAGTCTTTGAATCACAAACTATGAAAAACATAGGAAATTCACTTATAAACATTAGTGTCGAATTCTATGTTGGCCACAGATAAACCTCCATATACATTAATACAGTACTCAAAATATCTCTTTTATGATTGCATAGCAATCAAAGTATAAATCAAAGTAAAACATAACATGCACAAGATTATTATTGTGCCTCAAGTTAGAGGATTAGTCATGTACTGTTGCAACATGAAAATTCTTAGTCGACGGTAAAAATTTTCAACTAAGAATTTTCATCGGCCCATGTTCGGTGAACTTGCTGCAACATCCTCGTCTGATGAGCATGCATCATATGCACAAGTCTTACCGGATCATTCAATTGTTAGTGTTATATACTGAAAGCTTGGCTTTGCATGTTATTACACATTTACCCTTTATGAATGAGAATCATGTTAGATTAAACAAGTTCTACGTTCTGTTGTTCTGCACTTAGATAGGGTGGGTCGTCATCGGGCGAACCGAAGATCACTCTGTCAGTCACTTGCGAACAAGAATAGTTGTTCACAACCTAGATGGACATGAACACCCCATCCGAACGGTTGTAGTGTCAACTGTACAGTTTGTCTTGACTGATTAGTTGCACTAGTACATTTATGTATTGAACAGGATCCCAGAGAGGAGAAGTTCATTTTATACTGATCGTCGTAAATGAACTAGGCCTCGGTTAATTACTGCGTTCTCTTAACCCGTAAGATATTAAACAGGCAGATATATATAATATATATTACTTTGATTCACATGGGTGAGGTTCAGTTCGCTGGATTAATATTCCTACTGTTTTGGGTAATATTATTATATATAGGATGTGCTGTTAGGATATTTACGGTCACCATGTGCGTTAGTTTGATGATGTCCCCGGAGTGAGTTCATGAAGGATTGTTATGCTAAACCCTGCAGGTGGATTAAATTCCGGCATAATAAGAATGTGATGAACGAGCGCTAGCTTCGGTGAAATAATAATAAATTAATTAATTCTTGATTGTCAGTAATCGAATTAATTAATGGACATTATATCTTAAACGTGGGGAGGTAAATC